ATAGTTCAGAAGATAACATAGTACAAGCATTAGAGCCATAATCATAATGATTAGCATAAGCATTAGACAATTCAGAATGTAACACAAGACAATCATTAGAATTGTAATCAGGGTGATTATTGATAACATTGTGATCAGAAACAGATTTATTTATTGAATTGGATTTATAACTAGAGACATTATCAAAGGAACATGTTTGTGAGTTGAAATCAAAAGTTCCCAAGTTACAATTATCATCAGTAATTGACAATTTGCATTCAGGAATAACACTAGAGGTAAGACTAATGTTATCTAGTATAGAATTAAAGACTTGAGGTTGCAGACTGTTTGGAGCTAGTTGCTCAATGTACTTAGGTGAATTATGAAAAGGAACGGGAGAAGATGGCAAATTAGAAGGAATGTGCAGCTGATACAGGCCAACTTTAAGACCTCCCTACAGAAGCACTGTTTTGGTATCCTTAGCCTTAACAAGACAGTAGTCAGAGTTAAATTCTATTACCACATTATTGGCTTTTGTAAATTTTGGGATACTAAGAAGGTTTTTAGTTATTCTAGGCACACATAGAACATTTTTTAAATAGAAGCATCTAGAGTGTAAAGCAGTAGGTAATAAAGGAATACCAACATGGGAGATGTTTATAGACTCACCACTGCCGACTTGCAATTGATCAGTACCATCATAGTTCCTGCTGGCTATTAAGTGATGGGGATTAGAAGTAACATGATCGGTAGCTCCTGAATCCATGTTCTAGGCTGGATCAGGTGGTGTGGTGGTGGAAATAGGCATAAGTACAAGAGAGTTGGGAGCTGGTGATGGATTTTGATGGGATAGGGTGAGTTTAGTTGTTGGCTTAGGACAAGAAAGCTAGGCTATGATGAAGGTTGCTGTTGAGTGGAGAAAGAGACGCCATGATGTCCTTGTCCATGAGACAAATTGTTCCCAAAGGAAACACCTCCAATAAGTCCAGAATTTGAGCAAGAACCAAGATCTCTATCATGTGTAAATTGAGGATGAGGACCTCCATACTGAGTTGCTGAGGCACCAAACTGAGATTGAGCAGGAGTGCCAAATTGAAATTGAGCAAGTGGAGCCCCATTATAGGTTGGATTGTACCTATGATAGCATTGTGCTACTATGTGGCCAACTTTGTTGCATACTTGACACATTGGTTTGCCTCTGCCAGCACCTTTGCCTCGACCTCTGACAGCACCTTTGTCTCGACCTCTGCCAAAGGAGTTATAACCAGATGCTCTATAAATTGGAAAGGCAGCACCAATAGGTCCTCCAAAATGACTCTGATGTGTAGAGGGAAAGAGGGAAAGTGTGAATCAGTGTGTGTAACAGGAAAGGGATAGGCTGGATAAGTTGGAGCAGAGTAAGCAGTTGGTGCTGATGGATAAGTTGAGTAAGTTGACGAAGGATGAACTGGTGCTGGAGGCAGAGTATTCATCAGAGCAGGTGCATGGTGCACTGTGTGGAGACCTCTAGCAACATCATTAGGATTTAGAGATCCCTTTGTACCAATAGACAGCAACGGTGAAGCATTAGGATTACTGAGAGATGCCATATGCACTGAACTATTTGGAAAATCAACGCTATTAAACTTCTCAAGTCTCATCTCATATTTCTGGAGCAGAAATTGAGCTTCTTGTAGAGACACTGAGTCAAATTTAAACTCAATTCGAGATGTTAGATTGACTACGGTAGCATCAAACTCTGGCCCAAGGCCATCTAACACATATTGAAGTAGATCTTCATCACTTATCACCTGACCACTTCTCGATAGATTCTCATATATATATAGACACACACACACGAAAATTAAACCCATCCCCATCTTATTCTAACGTAGAGATTTAAAATATTTCCCCAAACCAATATCCTTCTTGTCCACCATGACTAACGACCACAACTCCATCCCAATAAAAGCAAATCTCACGGGTCCTCAACCCTATTAAGATGCATTTTGTCACCCATAATGTCGAGAAATGAAAGCCAACAAATTTTTTAAATTTTCTAAAAAAGAATTGTGAGACCCACAAGATATGTATTTAGTTACAAATCTAACGTTCTGTATTATATTTGCATTATGCAAATCTTATTCTAAAAAATGCATGTTCTTGTAAGCAAAGACCCAATATCCAATTCATTTAAGGTTTCTAATTCTCTTGAGAGATTAGGGTTATTTTATAAAATTCATTGTGTTACCCTTAATTCTTCCTAATTAAAATGACTTAGATCTTGCATACAAAATTAAGTTAATAATTAATTAAACGAAGAAGGAAAAAAAAATTGAAACAATTAAATGAACTAGCTAGATAGAAACCAAAACTTAAATAAACACATTGTACAATATAATTGGACAATACAAAGTATTCCATGCAATTGATTTTATAATAATAAATAGGCAAAGATTTCAATTATGAGAATTCGTCTTTTGAATCACGATACATTAAAAAATTAGAATTAATCAATATAAAAGAGTACTCCATTAGCCTAAAGACTTTAGCTACTCTTATTATAAATTCATTAATGTGACATTTCATTAAACTCTATCTCATCGAAATAGTTTAATTTTCACACGTAAAATACGCACGATGTGACATCTTTCTAGATTTTGGACACCTTACATGCAACGTTGTATTTGTTTATAGAAAATATCTTACAATCCGGTTCCGTATATAATATTAAATCACATTTTACTAATAATTAAAGAGTAAATTACTTTTTCCCACCTAAGGTTTGCCTTAATGACCCTTTTTCACCAAAAAGTTTTAAAATATCACTTTCTCACCTAAAGTTTATATTCCGTTAATATCCAAAATATTCTTTGCTTTCTCAAAAAGTGTTCGGTGAGTTACCAGGAGTTAAGGTCAAAGGGGTTTCATAGAGTGGAGACTGATGGATCGAATGGTGGTGACTGGTTGAATATTTACTATTAGAATCAGCCGGAAATCAGTTAAAAATAAGAAATTAGGTGCTAGAGTGAGGGGGGGCTTTGTAGAGAGGACGTCGAAGGTTCAAATGATGGTGACAGAGAGAATTTTTGCCACTAGATTCAGTTTTAGATGGTAATTAAATATTAACTTTGGGTGAGAAAGTGATATTTTGAAACTTTTGAGTAAAAAGTGTCATTAAGGCAAACCTTGGGTGGAAAAAGGTGGTTTACTCTTAATTTATATACATAAACAATTTTAAAGTATAATTTTTATTTATTTATTAAAAAGTGGATTAAAAGAAGAGATTTTTGCGGTATTCCTCCTATTTTAAAATTGATTAATTACAGTAACACTTTCTCAATTAAGTAACATAAGCTTCTAGTCACTCTTAATTAAATACTCTTAGTTCTTCTGTTCACAATCACTTTACCTTAATTAATTAGTGCCAGCTGCTTAAATAATTATGATTATTATTTAAGAAGCTTTAATTAGCTTCTCAATCTCAAAGTGCTTTTGACATTATTAATTATATGTTACGTATCCAGCTTCCTCAGCTTCTATTATTTTGCTTTTGCTTTTGCTTTTCCAACCAAACTGCTTTTACAACAAGTTGATCATAATTCTTTTCTAGATCCTCCAAGTTGTAATTTGTTAAAATAAACACTTGTAAGGTAATTTTTTTTACTATTAATTTTTGGAAAAAAAAAATTTCATAAATTTAATAAATCTATAAATCTTTCTTTAATTAGTGATTCATCGTAGAAAAGAAAAAAAAATATATAAAAATTATTTGTATTTATTAGAAATTCTCTTAAATACATCCTTAATATAATAATTTGAACTTAAAGCCTCATTTTAAGTTTTCAGTCTTATAAATAATATAATGTTAATTTATATATGACTTCTAATTTGTCTACCCNGTGCCAACCTTGTATCTAAGAACTTCTAATCAGTCAGCATCTAATAATAGTAGATAAAACAAAGTCAGCCATCTTTAGGACTAATATACAATATTATAGTTATGTTCTATCAATAATACTATAATGTTGTGGTTTTGGCCAGATAATCTTGAGTAATGACTTTCTTCATTGCGTAAGCACTAGCAATTTGGTAGTCATTTTCAAGTTACAATTATTATTTTTAGTTATTATTAATTTGGATGTATTAATTAAATGAAAGGAGCGTGTCCATGACCTGTTCATAAAATAAACTATAACGAGAAAAGAGGAACTGGGCTATTTCTAGAGTTGGAAAGGAGGCAAAGAGATATCGATCAATTTATACAGATTTAATTGTCACCATAGTAGCCGCAACTAACTGATTCCCTATTAATTGTGGCGTTTTCCAGTTTTCATGTGAGTTGATTACTGTTAATTGTTTTATTAATAATACTATACTTACAAAGATTTTTATGCAAAGTGAGATAACAAAAAATGAATAAAAGAGTGAAACAAAAAGTCAAACTCATTATATTCACTCTTCCATTTATTTTTTGTTACATCATTTTGTATCAAGATCTTTATAAGTATAACATTACTCTTGTTTTATATGGACAGTCAAAAATGTTTCCTTTTGTAATAACTTATGACAGTGGTCATTCATATTTTCTTGTTCTGATGCAACTGAACACAAATGTTATTTAGATAAAGAATGGCTAGATCAATTAGTGATCATTCTTATTTTCTTGGACTTCTTGTATATTCCTTTATATGTAATTCCAACTTTAGTTCTTGATGTACATGTAACTAAGAAATCTCTGGGTTTCCTTTAATTCTTCTGAAAGGAATTGCATATTGAAGATTCGGAGCAAAACGAAACATAAAAATATATATTTTGCCAATTTTAACATGAAAACATAATCATGTCTACCGAAATCTTATGTTTGGTCATAATTGACTAGTAAAAACATTCAATGAACGAGTGCGTAAATTATTTATATGGGCGCATTTAGGAAAATGATTCATCAAAAATTTCTTATTACAATTGATTATAATTATTATCATTTAGAGTACAACTGTTTTCAAATTTTACAGTAAATAGAAGTTTCAAATCATAAAAAAGAAATTAAAATATGTAGCATAATATTATTTATTCATAAACGAAAATACATAGCTTTTACAATCCAGAAAATCTTATTTTAAATAACCACACAATGCAGTAAAAAAAAACCAAACCTAAAAACTGTCTGAAAATTGACTCTAAATCAAATCATATTCAGACTTATTAAACAAACATGCCACAGTGATAGTCTTATTTCGAAATGGTGGAACATATCGTCATAAACAAAACAGCCATTAATTGCTTTCATTTGAAGCTATGGATGATAAGGAATGGGAATCAAACACAAATCATCTTTTCTCCTAGCTGTCAGACCAAAGGCCTCGGTCATGTCTAAATCTTCATGTTTCATTCCATTGGGAAGTTTCCAATCAAAATGGTAGAGCAACATTGCAAGCGCAATCTCGACGCTGGCGAGAGCATATGAAGTTCCTGGGCACATCCTCCTTCCAGCACCAAATGGGATGAACTTAAAATTAGTTCCCGTATATTCAATATCCAAATCAAGGAACCTCTCTGGTTTGAAGATTTCGGGTTCAGACCAATATTTTGGATCCCTCGCAATCGCCCATGCGTTAACAAGGACTCTGGTTTTGGCAGGTACGTTGAATGATTTAATTTCACATCTCTCTATGGATTCTCTGGGAAGTAAAAAAGGACCAGCAGGATGTAATCTCAGAGTCTCTTTTATTACTAGCTTCAAGAATTTCATTTCATTAATGCCTGTTTCATCGACTTTTCCTTTTCTATTGAAGACTTCCCTCACCTCATCCTGCACCCTTTTCATCAATCCAGGATTTTTTATCAACTCAGACATTGCCCAATCCATTGTTGTTGCAACGGTGTCACTGCCACCCACGAAAATGTCCTGGAAAATAGAAAATAAAATTTGGAATCACAGTTATAGCAAAAGATTTTTCCAAGAATGGAAACGTTAACGTTAAAAGATGTAGTTTTGTGATTTAAGTTGAAAGTTGTAGAAGTTCAGTGAATTAAGGAAAATCTTGAGTGATTTTGTAAAATATATTTTCCAAGAAAATAAATGCCAGATTTCAAATATTTTATTTTCCCTGGATTTGTTGTAGATAAATAAGTTGAAACTTGTAGAAGTTTAGTGAGTTGAGTTCATTTTCTAAAAAAATTTACACCTGAAAGAAACTTTAACAAAAAAACTAGGGTCGTCCGTTTTTGATATTTTGTTGATTTTAAATTAAAAACTAGTGTACAATGAAAACTGAGTTTTAATTATTTTGTAATTTTACATTAACTTTTAGGATTATATTGCCAAATTGTTTTTAAAAACATTTCGGCTCGTTTCTACCAAATACATTTCTCTAAGATTTTTTGCACTCTATATTTTCAAAAACTAAAAACCATATTCAAATTCTATATCAAACATGCTCATTATTTAAATGCTTGATTATCCATGTTAGATGCTTTCAAAGAAGCCGTACACATAGTTTGAAAACTTTGTAGTAATGCTGAGAAAGTTAAAACCTTGCAGTTTTAAAGGGAATTATAAAAAGTTCTATCTAAGGATGTAGACAAAGTGCTGTACATAATACCAATGTTTTAAATATTTACCCGGACTATAGTTCCATGTAAGAATTAAAAATACTTACAAAAATAGTGGCTTTGATGCCCTCGGTAGTCAAACAAAATTGAAGATCATCACGCCCTTGTAATTCCAAGAGAATATCAACTAGATCTTTATTTTCTTCCATCTTGTCTGACTTCTTATGTTCATTGATGATGTTTTCAAGTATTCTGTCTAATTCTTTATGCAGTCTCTCTAATTTAGACCGGGTTCCACTGATCGATTGGAGAAATTTGATTGAAGGAAACATATCCGCAATATAAAAACCTGCCATCAACCTTATAGTTTCTGTCGCAACAGGTATTAACACTTGATTATCTTTGCATTTTCCCCCAAAAGCTGCCCTTGCAGTGATTCCATAGGTTGATGTGAAAAAATTGTCTGTGAGGTTGATCACCGATCCCGATTTCGAAGCAATTGAGTTGACGAGACTAGACATCTCTTCTTCTCTTAAAGATCGAAAAGATTGGACTTGTTTTGGGCTCAAAAGTTCCAACCTATAGAGATTCCTCAGTTTTCTCCAATAGTCTCCACAGGGTGAAAAGGCCACATCACTATAATTATAACTGGCGATTCGTACGATTTCATTGTGAGGCCTTGATGCAAATTTAGCATCATGAGTTTTCATCACCTGTTCAGCAAACTCAGGCGAAGAGACGACAACGACAGAGATTTCTCCGAGCTGTAAGTGCATAAGGGGTCCATATTTTTTGGCTAAATCTCTTAGTCGATAATGAGATAGAGACTCAGCGGAAACAAGCTGGTGCAAGTTTCCAATAAGGGGTAATTTCCATGGCCCTGGGGGGAGATTTGAAGTTCCGTCGTTGGTTTGGGATCTTTTCATTATTTTCAACAACATGAAGAGAAAGAGAAGAAAGATTAGAAGGATTGGGAAAGAGGGGAAGACGAGCTCCATGTAAAAGATCAATAAGAGTACTTAGTGTTGGATACTTTTGGTTGTTGGTATGTTAATGAACTGAGTGCTGGTGCATTTATAAGGTTGATATCCCATAAAAACGCATGTGCCGTTCAATAATAGTCCATTGTATTATGAATAATGCTACATGTAACTCCTTATACAAGCTAATGTGTTTTAATGCGATTAGATGATTTTAAATTAGAGATTATTTAAACTAATTAGATTAAATAATATGTGAAACATACATGATTATCACAGCAGTTTATGAGAAATCATTTGAATATGTAGCATTATTCTCGTATTATATTAGGTAGGATCGCACCTCTTTATATGAACATATTTTCCTCAATTTTAACTAAAAAAATCAATGTGGCAAATCCCACGAAAATTTTATGAAGAAAACGGTATTGTCGTTTGACATTTGTTATGGTGAACTATATATTAGTATATAAAATGCCAGATTGGGCACTCTTCTTAAGCCATATCTTCCTCAATTTAATTTACAGAAAATGTCGTTAAGAGAGAAATATAGATGAGTTTAATGTTTCTAGAAGTATATCTACGACGTTGATGTTCCATGTGAAAATCAGCATTCACTTCTCTAATGAGATCCCATCCGTGACCAAAGAAATTTTCAAGAAAAAAAAAACCAAAAGCATAGGTGGAACATAAACATGACTAGCGGGACTATTTTGATGAGGACAATAGTAATACCTAATGATAATGATATAATAATTTGGTTATTATAGAAATATGTAAATCCCAAAAACAATTTTTATTTAGGTTTGCACAACTATCTATTGAGTATCTTTATATTGAATTGAAAAATAGTCTATTTTAAAAAGTCCTACACTCTATAATCCTCTTTTTATACTATTGGCGATTTTACCCTTATTATAAAAATCCAAGTTGTTCATCTATCAAAACACAATTTTTCTCCCTAACGATCGACAACAAATCAATCATTTATCACCAATTCACCATTATATATATATATATATAATTCATTCTTTCATCTATTGTAAGCTATAAAATATAGGTTAGCTTTTATATGCATAAATTAATAGGATAGGATTGTAGAATCCTCAAGTCAAGACATTCAAATGTCAAGAGGAAATCAAGTTATTCAACCTTAAGACACTCAAAAGAAAGATCCCAACCAGAAAAGTCAAGATCATCAATCCCAAAGAAAGATGTTTAGTTATGTCATCTTCAACTTCACAAGAAAAGATTGTTAACAGTAGCTGATTTATTAAGTACTGTACAGTTTAGTTAGTTTGTTTAAAATGTAAAATTAGTTATTGTTATTGTTAAGAGAGTTAGTTACAAGTTTGGTTAGTTATTAACTAGAGTTAGTTAACTGTAGTTAGGAGCTTACTGAGTTAGTTTGCAAGTATAACAATAGTGTACAAATTGTATTTGATAACCCGATGAAACACACAATAGTTTCGCCAATTTTCTCTCTTCAACATGGTATCAGAGCAGGAGACTTCTTGCAAATTTTCTAGAAATTGGTTCGATTGAACCTCCATATTCTTCTTGTTCAGCTTGAAGAGGCTCAAAACTCGTTAATTTGTTTCAATTTGAGCTGTAGACTTTGGAAGCTAAGCTTAGTTAGTTATGGCAAAAGAATCAGTTCTACCTTCGATTGACTCAAATTTGCCCGTCTACATTCATCCATCTGATACACCAGGGTTAGTATTAGTATTAGAACAACTCATAGGAATGGAAAATTATGGTATTTGGAGCAGAGCTATGACTGTTTCCTTATGTGCCAAAAACAAGCTAGGTTTTGTCAATGAAACTTGCACAAAATCTTCAATACATGATCGTTTAGCTCCACAATGGGAAAGGTGCAACTCTTTAGTTCTTGCTTGGATCTTTAATTCAGTCTCCAAAGAAATATTCAACGGGATTATGTATTCAACCAATGCTTCACAAGTCTGGTAGGATTTAAAAGAGCAATATCACAAAGTGAATGGCACTAGGGTTTTTGGTTTCCATAAAGAAATTGTGAATCTTACACATGGAACCAACACTGTGGCAATTTATTTTAACAAGCTTAAGTCGTTATAGGATGAATTGGATTCTCTGGTAAGTCTTCCTGCTCCAGATAGTGCTTCCGCAAAGACATATCTTGAACACCTTAATCAACAAAAGTTATTACAATTTTTTATGGGTTTGAATGAGTCGTACTCTATGGTCAGAAGCCAAATTTTGTTGATGAATCCCCTGCCAAGTGTGAGACAAGCATCTTCCGTAGTGAATCAAGATGAGAGCCAAAGGACTTTAGCAGGATTGAATACTAATGCAGATGTAACTACTACACTCTATGCTCAAAATGGTAAAAATCAGAATTCAGTGCAGAGATATAAGGGAAAGAAACCTTATATTAAATGCGATTATTGTTACCTACCTGGTCACAAACGTGACAATTGGTACAAGCTAAATGGTTATCCAGTAGATTACCAGTTTATAAAAGGAAAGGGGAACTCAAAATCCAAATACTCTGCTAATTAGGTGCAATCACAGGATACAGTTGCAGAAACGATATATGCAAAGTCTCCTAATATTCCAGCTGGACCTGTTTTCACATCAGAGTAGTACAATCAGATTTTGGAGCTGTTAGGAAAAGAGAATGTACCCTCTACAAATCATTCAGTTGCAAACCTTGCATGTATCTTTAATAGTACACATGATATTACACTGATTAATTTAAATAAAAATGCTTGGATCATAGATACAGGGGCCACTAATCACATGACCTATGACCTTAGTATTCTACAGTCTCTTACTGCCATAAACCTTCTTCAAATCCCATTGTAGGGTTACTTGATGGCACTAAGACTCATATTGCACATGTAGGTTTTGTAATTTTGGACAATGGCATACATCTCTCAAAAGTTTTGCATATACCAACTTTAAGACACAATTTGCTTTCCATTCCAAATTTACAGTTTCTAATAACTGTTCTATCAATTTTTACCCTGATTTTTGTCTAACCCAGGACCTTTACAGTGGAAAATTGAAGGGGATTAGTAAGCATAAGCAAGGCCTGTATTTCCTTGATCCAATTTCACAAAAATCAATAATGTTAGTAGATGCTTCGCATAAAGCTGTTTGTAATATTTTAAAAGGTCTTTGTTCAAATAATAATGTACCATGTCATTTTCAGTTGAATGAAGACTCTGAATTTCCAAATACTTTTCTTGCTGCAAATGTTTCTAATAGTGCTAAATTGTGGCACCAAAGGTTAGGACATGTTCCTTATATAATATTATAGCATATGCATAAAAATTTTGATGTTTCTAATCCTCCTCATTGCACTATTTGTCCATTAGCTAAGCAAACTAGGGTTCCCTTCCATCATAGTAATTCAATTTCTACTTGCCATTTTTATTTGTTACATATTGATGTTTGGCGTCCATATAGGATTCCAACACATGGAAATGCTAAGTATTTCCTTACTTTGGTTGATGATTTTTCAAGAGTAACCTGGTTATTTCTCATGCAATACAAATCTGAAGTTTTCATTACCATTAAACATTTTATTACAATGATAGAAACTCAATACCATTGTACTCTAAAATGCATTAGAAGTGACAATGGCCTTGAATTTTTTAATAAAGAATGTCATGATCTATTTCTTAGTAAAGGCATTGTCCATCAAAGCTCATGTGCTTATTCCCCTCAACAAAATGGAGTTGTTGAGAGGAAACATGGACACATCATTGCAGTTGCTAGAGCCTTGAAATTCTAGTCCAATATACCAAATCATTTGTGGGGATATTCTATGCAAACAACGGTTTACCTTATAAATAGGTTTCCTTCATCAGTTCTGAAAGGTATATCACCCTTTGAAAGATTTTTTGGTCACCCTCTTTCATTGGATCACATCAAGGTTTTTGGTTGTTTAGCTTATGCTACCATTCTCACCCCTAAGGACAAATTGTCACCTAGATCTACCCCTTGTGTCTTTTTGAGTTATTCTTTGACTCAAAAGGGATACTTTCTTAATGATCTTTCTTCTCATAAAGTTTTTGTCACTAGAGATGTTCTTTTTCATGAGACCATTTTTCCTTTTACTTGGCTTATATCTCCATCATCACCTTTTCCCTTTGATCCTGAATTTCTGGATATTGAGTTGCCTTCTACAACTACAGCCCCTACTATCCCTTTATCAGTTGATTTATTGTCTGTTGTCTAGCATGCAGAACCTACAGGACCTCCCTCTCCATCTATTACTTCCTCTCCACCTCAACCTATCATTCCTCTTAGGCAATCCAGTCGAATTAAAAGGCCCCCTATCTGGACATTAGATTTTGTTTGTCCATCTATTTCTCCTTCCACTTCAACTTCAGCCAATTGCCTCCCATATCCTATCTCTAATTTTGTATCTTATAGTCATATTTCACGAAGCTGCCAAGCCTTTTTATCCCATCTCAATCTAGTAGAGCCCACTTCTTTTAATAAAGCTTCTCAAGATCCTAATTGGGTAGCTGTCATGCAAAAGGAGATACAAGCCTTGGAATTAAATAAAACCTGGTCCTTAGTCCCTTACCCCAAGGTAAGACTCCAATTGGTTGTAAGTGGGTCTATAAACTCAAATATAATGTTGATGGTTCCTTGGAAAGATATAAGGCAATATTTGTGGCAAAGGGGTACGCTCAAATGGCAAGTGTAGATTATGCAGAAACACTTTCTCCTGTTGTTAAAATGGTTACCATTAGGTCTATTTTTTCACTTGCTTCCATGCATAATTGGCCACTTTACCAAATGGATGTGGATAATGCATTTTTGCAAGGGGATTTACAAGAAAAGATTTATATGACTTTGCCTCAAGGTTTTGCAAAGTAAAAGGGGGGGGGGGGGGGGGGGGGGGGGGGGGGGGGGGGGGGGGGGAGCCTGGGGAGCAGCCTATAGTCTGCAAGTTACACAAGTCTCTATATGGACTTAAACAGGCCTTTAGAGCCTAGAATTACAAGCTTACTCAAGCCTTACTTGCTGGACGATTTACTCAATCTAAAGCTGA